TGCAGAGCACACAAATACACACCTACTGTATTTACTGTATCTCGCCAGGGTGGTTTTAGAAGGTGGACAGAAACCAACATTCAAGCGCAGAAAGTCCCCCAGGCCAGAAGCAAACCCATGTACTGGAGAGCCCAGAAGCAGCAGTGCTCACTGCAACTATTTCACGGAGAATTCTGGAAATTTTGATCCTCTCACTCCTGAGTGCTTGAAGAGGAAACAGTTTTGTGCTGCCTTTGCTCAATTAAGCAATATTTTAAAAGTACAGTACCCCATATGAAAGGCTCCACAAGTATCCTCTTTTCTTTTTCTGAGGTCCTTACCACCTTTTCTGTTTTTATTTAATTTCTCCACAAATTGATTAAAAGCCATATACAGTATATGAGGTTTGAGAGAGACGGTGAGTCACTGTATAGGCTGCAATGGAACAAGTAGAGGTTAATTTCAGACTGAAAAGAACAAAGAAAGAGAAAACAAGTTCACCTGTATTGAGCCACTCATATCTGATGAAAGCTTAACAGTTTAACAGTTGTGCTTAATATCTACTTTTCAGCATGGAAATAACATCTTCTAGTTTCTATCTATATATAATTTGACTCATGGATGTGTAAAACATTCACTGTAACTTTATTTGGATATACAGTAGCTTCTTTTGGTGCATCTAAGAACAAACAAAAGTATTTTCAAATTATTTTCAAATTGGTTAATATAATAGAACATATTAACCCTCACATGCCTGGAAGAATTTGAAATCTATAAATAATCATTCAGCAAATGAATTAAATAAACAAAATAATTAAATAGGTTTATGGCTAGATTATCAATACATATTTTTCTTATTCTTTATATGACCACATTCTTCCTGAATTCTAGTTTGCATTTAGGCTTATAGCTTTTAATCAATTCAATTTATCGGGTTGAAGTTATATAAAACAATCAAGCTTTTATATTTTCTTAAGGTCAGACTCATTGGTGCCTAGCAACTGCTCTTTAAATTGACGAAATGCCTTTGCAATAAGAGCAAGCAAAGGAATATAAATACTGTATATCTTTTTGAATGATCTTTTTAATGACCCTATCTAGAAGTAGAATATAAGAAAGGTTACAATCGAGAAAAGGCTATTAACCTATAGTGATCATTTGGTTGCTAGCAGCTTTCTGTAAGTAAGAATTCCATTGTACCAGTACCGGTTACATATGGCAATAAAGTTCAAGTTCAAGTTAAATGACTAGAGAATCTAACCTGCTAATTTCTTAAGAATAGCAGTACCAGTTATGGCCAGATAGCCAATTCCAGACTGCAGCAAAAAAAAAACTGATATAAAAGTGCAGCATTTTTAGTTTTAATGCAAAAGTAATGGCACAGAAATTGCAGCAACATTATGGAAAGTGATTTAATTTTTTTTTCATTTGTTATTCATTAATTTACCTGCGCTTCACGTTCAAAATTAAACATCAGATAAACTGCCAATTTCAGACTAAACTAAAATGTTAATTGGTCCACTTACTTCCCAATGCATCGGTTATACAAACTTCAGCCCTTGTTTCCCTGACAACCCTCTACTATCTGTGGAACTCAGTAATTATTTACTAGGTCATAGGGAAAATGCAAAAACCAAACACATTTTTATTCAAAACAGAGGTAAGAAAACGGGAAAAATGGGAATGGTAGAAAAACGATCGATCCCAAGACTTCTGATATCTCGTTCAGTATTGTGAATTTGATCAGTGGAAGAGGAAGCCACCTACATACTGCCTAGATTGGGCTGCTCCTCAAAGCTGAGCAGCTGGGCAATAGGGGAACAGAGGTCAGCAGTGACATTGAGAAAGTCACGGTTCAAAGGAAGTTCAGTCAGCCCCAGTGCTACTACAGATCTAAGCTCCCAATGGCATCAATGACTGTAACACATAGGGGTAGTGTAGAGGATAAATATGTGGAATTAATACCT